GACCTTGAATGGTTGCAGTTGTCTTTGTTGCTCGTCGATGTCGATCACGCAGTTGTGTCACCCGGATGTAACGGTCCTGCGCTTGAGTAGTGACCCTTGGACGTCCAGAACGAGGCCGGTCTTGGACACTGTCTGTCTATTGATGATTTGCGATGATTCTGGTGATTGTAGACACATGACATCCAAAGTGCCTGGCCACTGTAAATCTAGTTGACGTTGAACCGGTCTGTTGCGTCCCAGTGGCAACGCCTCTTTGGAGTTCGGTTAATCGAACCACTGTTCCTGTCCTGTTTGAAAGACGAGTGTGAAATGCTTGGTGTTTTCTTTATATGATGGCTTAGAAAGGAAGGGACAAGGGGGAAATGCACGCATGTTTGTATATCATTTGCGCTGCACGTGCAAAATACGTCAAACGAGACGAAAATGTGGTCAAAATGAATGTAAATAGTGAACAGGGTTTCTTCACTGCGTTTCTTTACGTTTGTATACATTTCTTTTCGCAAATTACAATTTTGTGCTTTTCACAAACCAAAAACATGACTTGCGTTTCTTTTGCGGTTGAGTATATGTACATACACACAGCTTTGTATGCTATGCACATACCACGACTTCTGTGTCCTAATATACACCATATGCCCGACTGAACAGAAAGATTTCACGCATCGTACTTGGAACCCGATAAGTCACGAGAAGTTGTTCAGGATGTATTTAAAAGTTTACCCGACAAACAAAATAATCGTTTCTTTCCCAACCCAGCCGAACCCTAACTTATCCCAACACTCAACCCCTATGCCAACACTAACCTAATTTAACCGGGTTAACTGGTCTAGCTAAGGGGATCATTTTTTTATATAAATAAAAGCGACACGACCCTTTCCATATTCATAAGAAATATCTACCAACAGCAAAGTCGATTGTACGATTCCGACTACTAGTATATCATGTGTTTATGAACCACTATCAGTTTGTAATACCAGGTGTTCGCGATAAGATGAGCGTACCCTACCCTACCGGTGGCACCCTTTACAAACACATGCAAGGGCAAGCCAATTGTTCACCTAAAACAAGATGGGCACGTATTGTACAAGCCATAAAAGCCAAGGTTTAATGTGAGGTGAAATGTGGTTTCACGTTCAAGACTTACAAAGCGACGTGCGTGCGTGCGTGCGTGCGTGCGTGCGTGCGTGTGTGTGTGTGTGTGTGTGTGTGTGCGCGTGTGCGCGTGTGCGTGTGGTATTACGCGGCAGGGGATCGAGCCCCAACCTTCCGTTCACCTGGCAGGCGCACTACCAGTAGACCACGGAGGCGGTCTACGTTTCTTGATGATGAAGGGTTTTATACCCAGCGACTGCAAACCTCGATGAACCATGGGTAGAGGCTTACACTGACATTGGACATGACAAAATAAGGTCACCATTGTTGTGTTTGATATTACACCTAATTGCCTTATAAAAATGAATCACAAGTCCAATCTAACACGGTGTCTGGGCCTGATGGTATTCGGTACTGGCACCTGTTGGCTTATGTCCAACAACCATTACGTAACTGTTTAAATTCTCTTTTGTATACAGGGAATGTTCCGCCTTGGTTGTGCAAAGGTCGAACAACACTTCTCCAAAAGAAACGTGATTTGACAATTCCTAAAACCTTTCGTCCTGTTACTTACATAGTACAAAATATTTACAGGGTGTCATCATACTGCGCTTCTAATGATATGTAACTGTATTTATTCGGAACAAAAAGGGCCCAGAAAGGGATCTGGGGGTGCAAGGATCAATTGTTTCTCGAAGAGGAAAAAATATCCTCCGTAACCCCTCAAGGTGTTGGATAGGCCTCAGAAAGGCTTATCATTCTGTACCTCACGAATGCATTTTGAATGCATTCACCGGAATGTATTGACCTCCCCGTGTGACTACTTGTTTTACTCAAGTCTTTTGGGTCAATTGCTGGTCAACTCAACTTGAGATGCATTGGCAGGGGCAGGTGTTGACTTCGGAACCCATTTCTATTAGAAGAGGTTTATTGCAGGGTAAATCGTTTCGTCGTTTGCTTTTCTGTTTGTTACTACATCATGTAAGCATTCTGCTTAACAAAGATAAAAGGTTATTATCCCATACCCCCTCAGCGGAGTCTCTTCACGACAGAATTGTATTGTGCACTTCTGCGCATATTCTGATGATTCCATTGTGAAGTATGTCAAGACTCATGATGAAAACAAGGCATTCCACGGTTTTCTTGATCGAGCCAAGGAAGTCGGACATAATTGCAATGCCAATGTTGATTTTGTTGATGGTTTTACACTACTGAACAGAAAAGAAATGAGTGTCAAACACGCGAAGTGCTACACCATATGTGAACGACCACTGTATGGAGTGTATGTACAGTAACCCCGAGGAGTCGGCTAACCAGAAAAGTCAAACAGAAGACGGGTTTACTGCTCTAGACAAGACTCTTCGAAAACCGATAATGTGTGATTTTGCATCAAAATGTAAATATGAAATGTATATAATGCAATGAATTTAATGAGACACATTGTCAGTGGATGCCCAGCTTTGGCACAAAGATAGTATCTTAAGCGACATGATGGCGTGGATCGATCCTTTTATTACCGTCTTTGCCATGCTTGTGATTTTGATTCAAAAGACCCCCTTACGAAATGTCATGCCTGCACCCCAGTACCGACTCCCGTTCTCCGCTGTCAGTTCCCGGTGCCTTAGTCTTGGTACCTCCGAATCTGTTGACTGGCGTTTGGAAAGTTCCCGGGTTTGTTGCCGGGAACACGGCCCTTCTGACAATCTGGGATGGCTGCAGTGTTGGGGAGTCTTCACATTCTCTGAAAAGTTCTTGGTAGGTTCGACTAGGCAGCGCTTCAGTGTTTTCATTCGTTTGTTCTATTCTAAAAGGCTGAGATTTGCGTGGATTTTGTGGAACATGTTTGGATGTCAACGCAGCCTGTAGTAATCTCAAAGTACGTTAACGCAACCTGCAGTATTCTCAAATTATGTCAACCCAGCCTGCAGTAATCTCAAAGTACGTCAACCCAGCCTGCAGTAATACCAAAGTATGTCAACGCAGCCTGCAGTAATCTCAAAGTTTGTCAACGCAGCCTGCAGTAATCTCAAAGTTTGTCAACGCAGCCTGCAGTAATCTCAAAGTTTGTCAACGCAGCCTGCAGTAATCTCAAAGTACGTTAACGCAGCCTACAGTAATCTCAAAGTACGATAACGCGACCTGCAGTAATCTCAAAGTATCTCAACGCAGCCTGCAGTAATCTCAAAGTATCTCAACGCGACCTGCAGTACTCTCAAAGTACGTTAACGCAGCCTACAGTAATCTCAAAGTATGTTAACGCGACCTGCAGTAATCTCAAAGTATGTCAACGCAGCCTGCAGTAATCTCAAAGTACGTTAACGCAGCCTACAGTAATCTCAAAGTATGTTAACGCGACCTGGAGTATTCTCAAAGTATGTCAACGCAGCCTGCAGTAATCTCAAAGTACGTTAACGCAGCCTACAGTAATCTCAAAGTACGTTAACGCGACCTGCAGTAATCTCAAAGTATCTCAACGCGACCTGCAGTAATCTCAAAGTATGTCAACGCAGCCTGCAGTAATCTCAAAGTGCTTTAGGAGATGAAAAGAGACTTTGAGACAATGATTCCCCTTCAATAATCTCAAAGTGTGTAGACATAGAAGGCAATAATCTCAGAGTAAATGTATTCTCTGCGTCCAACTGTCCAAATGTTTTAGAGTAACAGAGATGGTGAGTACGTCAACGCGATATGCAATAAGCTCACAATATATCATCTCGACATTCAATAATCACAGATAACTTCATTACGACCTGCAGTAATATTGCGCCTGGTCGATATTGAAGGTGTGGAACCCCGCTGTCGAAATATGGGTCTTAGAAAATAAAACCAGCTCCCCATTGGCTATCCATCCATTGGTATTCATTATTACAAACAGGCATTGTGTGGATCATGTTTTGGTTGCCTTTTTATGGCAAAGGGTGACATGGTATCTATTTTAGGCTTGGACTGTCACTAGGAAATAGAAAAGGACATGTAATCGGATCAAAATTGTAATAATATTCAAGCTGATATGAAAATGAAACAAACAATATTAGTTTTATCCTTATTTAGCTTCACGCCTTGTTTTACGATAGAAACGCGACAATTTGCGTATCAGTGGTCTGTGAATTAGATAACAGAAAAGAAGTGAACGGGGTGTATGATGTTTAATGCCGCAGTCAGCTATAATCAAATCTATATCACAGCGGTCAGTCTGGGCAAAGCGAACCTATGACTGAAAAGCAAGGCTCCACGCCGTCAATATATGAAGCTAGCACTTCAACTTACACCCATAACAGGTGGTGGTAATCTGGTGCACAGAACATCACGTATCACTGCTTTGTTTACCTGTTTGTGGGAGGGGTGATTGAGTAAATATAAAAACTAAGGTGTGCGTTGGAACAAATGAAGAATTATGCCTGGGTCTTCCAAATGCTGAACAAGAACCGTAAGCTGTTAACAAACACCTTAGTGGTGATAAATAAGAGCTGCGATATCAACCTAAAAACATATGTGACGGACTGACATTACGCCTCAACAAACTCAAAATTATTTTTATTACAAGAGTTTTAATTTCTTTCCACTGTCGTGTTGTTTTTGGAGGTTTTTTTATTTTCATGAATGGCTGTTTTTCCCCGTTTCGTAATTTGCTGGGGCGTGAAGTAAATCATTGATCAAGTAGATGGATACCGGCACTCTGCGACAGTGTACGCCCTGTATGTAAGAAATGTGTATCCATGTCTAAGGTATATTCATTGTTGACTCACCGGAACAAGCATTCCTTCCAACACCTATCAACAAAAACTCATTATAATCATACAAGATACAAGAGATCTCCGTTACCACGACATAATTCTTATAACGTGTACGTGAGCGGACGGTATTTGCCCTCCAGTTAAACATCTACATATTGAATAAGTTCCGCTCTAGATATCTTCCGCTGGAAACTTCCAACACAAGTGACCATCCTGTGAGGACATCGCCTTTCTCCGTGCCTTTTAATGATAATCACGGTTTTGTTCCAAACATCCACCACACCAGGGCCGATTGGTGGTGATATGATCGGTCCCTGTCTGTCGCTAGTCCCCTCAACTTTCCAGGTATGCCTCCACCTGCTCGTAGGTGTGATTGGAGCTCAGGTCTATTTTGAGCGTTTCACTTCCTGGTCGAAAGCTCACGTTGAACAAACGCTCAGTTGCTCACATTGAGAAATATGCGCCGGTTATCGCAAGTCGGGGGATTCTACTCTAACAAGTGAGGATTTTTAATTCAGTGGGACAATATCTGACACTATGGATTACATGAACTTACCCAAGAATCCCTACAAACTGATGGAGGGATGGTTGCATCACAAAGGCACACACGTAAGTAATATGCGTGATCTGACAGGTATGTGTTTGTTTATGTTATATGAAGCAGTTGACTAGGAATCGTTACAGGTGCGATTTTAGCCTTGTGCGAGTGACGTGATTGTATCGCCAAGTCGTTGAATTGTATTAACTTGTTCTTAATTTTCAAAGTGATTTTAGAAAACACAGGATGAATAATATTTTACATGTAAAGATGTTTATCACATTGTTGTCATTGCATATGCTTTCTTCTCTCTCATAACCAATGTTCGAACATAGCTGATAGCTGTTAATATTGGCCAGTACTATTATGAGCACATCGACAATCACCAACGACGTTTATCAATCAAGTGAATATTTCTAACTATATTCATATGATTAATAATACAATCTGTAAACCTATCCGAAAGTAAAAAATATACGAACATCATGTTTGACACTATTAATTGTGAAACTGTTGTCAGTGTTTGACTGAAGACCACCACTCCAACAGCAGTCAACATTGACAGTATTGAATACAGTACGATCAATCGTCTACAGTTTTCACTCATACAGCTTTTATACTGGTGGCGATACATTTACAGTGTATTCTGGTGTTGATTTGTGATGTTTGCTGTTGGTTCGTATTCCTGGACAATTACTTACCATCTGGCTAGTTATATATGTTAGATAATTCGATAATTAGAGCCGGCTCGAATGCGTTCATTGTGTGTGAGTTTTAAAGCGATTTGTGGGTAAACCATATATAGACTGATTTGTCCATTTGTCTTCCAAAAACAAGGTCGTCTCCCTTGAAATGAAATATAGGCTACGGGACAGTAGCTGCATAGAAACCTGTTTAGGTGACTGCTCTACCCAGCGTGTAAATAAAGGCCTATTGTTAGGAACTAAGACGGCTGAACAATGTGGGTATACATACACGTTCACATTCTCATCTACCTGCAAAATCAAAGTCCATCATAACAGTTGATATCAATGATCACATTATTATGTATATTTGAGAAGGCTCGGGCTAACCCTGACTATTCACTTAGACTGTAATATTCCCTGATAGAACAAGGCGCGATAGACTGTGACACGGAGGTCGTCAGCTGGTTACGTGGAGGTATGGGGCAGACATTGACGGGAGGTGAGGCGGGGGTATGTACTTGACGGGCCGATAACGAGAAACTTTGATTGATCGGTGGTTTTGACAGCACTCAGTGGGAGAGTTCCTCGGTGGCTTTACAAGGCAGAACAGAACACACGGTCCTCGCATGCAGTTGCATATGTACTAGAATCTCATTATACATATTGAGTGATGATGTCAGCATGGGTATAATCAATTGTGTGCCGAGATTATCACGTTAGATTAAATAACGTGGTAGGTGTGTTCTCGAGACCCCAATACCCGAGGACGTGTTTTCAGGGAGAGCCTATAAATTTCATTGCAATTTAGCAAAATGTGCTCTTTCGTACTTCAACTTTTTTGTTGTTGCTTTTTAGGATGACGGTGAGGGGTCTGGATATTACACTGAGCACTTAGAGAAGTAATATACTGAATGGCATGTCACTAATTTCCTATGTCCTGTAAGAGACACAATGTATACTTTCTATCATCTACTAAATACTATTTAATTGACTTTTTTTTAACAGGTACATGTCTGACTTAAAGATAATGAGTTAAAAAACGATAAAGTATTAGGCTTTGAAGACACATTTATCACAATAATAATTTCTCTTAATAAATGGAATTAACAAACAAAGCTATATGGTTTTTAAGGTATGTGTTTATAGGCTATTAAGAAGCCATTTGTAATATAAAGACAGTTGGAATAAGGAATTACAGACATTGTAAGATTAAGATTTGATTTACAAAATTGAGTATTCGAGCCATAGAGACGTGTACATGTGACTATCTTGCTGACTGACATCGCCACTGACAGGGGAGACATGATTCCATATTCATTTATCGAGGCTATCCCCCAGAGTTGAAATGTCTGGCATACAATCACAGATTCCTTTTTATTTTTATGTTACATTTGAAATATTAGAAAGGATGCCACAGTCTTGTAGAACTGATTATCATAAATACACGGATGTTAAACACAACTTATAAAGTAAACGTTCCTTGTACCTTAGCTTGGCATCCCATTGAAGAAACCCTGTTACCATACCGTGTTGTCTAGTCCGTCCATACATGCAGACTAGAACGAGTTGTGTGACACTGGACTGACAGTTTCATTTAAACAGTGTAAGTATAGGTTCCGTAGAATAGACAGTGGGTCTTCAACACGACGACCCTGTATCACGGACACAAGCATCTCAGAGTTTTAGAGAGCATCGTCACATTCTGTGAAGTAATGCTACAATGGTCGCGGACGCCCCGCGCTATGTAATGTCGCTCTTTAAGTATTTCACAATTACCTGTGAATTGAGATTGACGAAAGTGGTATGTTATTTGCACTGGTTGAGAAAAAAATATGTTTGTATTTGTTCTTTGTTCCATGCTGAAGAGGATATTTGGTGAATTTGCGCTGTTAAACGCAACGATTTGTGTGTTGTGTTGTAATATATTATTTTTGAGTATAATTACCCCCCACCACGAAATGGAGCGGGGGAATATAGGTTTGGGAATTGATATGATAAATGAGATATTCCATGTGTCTCGTGAAATGTCATGTTTCTCTCATCGAGTGACGAGGGAGAGGAGATATTATCACGCCACTCGTGGAAATCCACCCCCCCCCCCCCCCCCTCCCCCCCCGCGAAACATGTCATTTCACTCGACACATGAAATATCTATATGTTTACAGTGGAAAATAGCAATACTGCATATTGATTTACATAACTGTTAGTTAGCGTATAAGGAAATTAATACGGGTGACTACCATTGCCATGACTCAAAACGCACTATCACTCCACAGTTCACATTGATGTCTATTTACACTTACGTATTACAGTTGCCATTGTGTTAATATATTTTATAAAAATCCACAACCTCTATTCATTTCGTATCCTAATCGCAATGAAGTGTCTAATATTTATTGTGACCAATACAGGCACGGGCCATGACGGCGGCTACAGGTCATGACGACACGCAAAGCACAAACAACTCATCTGTTGGGGTTTAAACTTCCCCATCTACTTACAGGCTTCCATACAATCAAAGTTAAAAGTCGTTACTTTCCTATCAATAGCTGCTATTTGGAATGTTAGACACAAGTAGATGACACGTAGAAGGAAGTGACAGCTCACACTGCCACTGTGTGTCCCCGCCGTACACGTTGTTTGGTGGTGGCTCGTTGGTCCTGACGTTGCTGTCAAACACAACGACAAAGCGCTGAAGTCCATGTCATCAAATACATTTTGGTAATATCGTAATAATGAAGCACAGAGGGGACTGAATAGACAGACCGGAGGGGCGTTCTTACATCTATATCCTTGATCAAGATCAAACTTGCCCCCTTTCCATATATGTGCAACTGAGGACTTTTGACAAAAAGAACGGGTAATTATGTTGAAAAACTTAATGAAAAGCAATAAACAGGTTGGGGAGAGGTTGCGATGGGTGTGAGGGAGTGGGTGTTGGGAAGGGTGTGGGTGAGGGAGTTGGTGTTGTGGAGAGTGGGGAGAGGTTTCGATGGGTGTGAGGGAGTGGGTGTTGTGGAGGGTTGGGGCGAGGGAGTTGGTGTTGTGGTGAGTGGGGATGAGGTTTCGATGGGTGTGAGGGAGTGGGTGTTGTGGAGGGTTGGGGCGAGGGAGTGGGTGCTGTGGAGAGTGGGGATGAGGTTGCGATTGGTGTGAGGAGCGGGTGTTGTGAAGGGTTGGGGCGAGGGAGTGGGTGTTGTGGAGAGTGGGGATGAGGTTGCGATGGATGTCAGGGCGTGGGTGTTGTGAAGGGGTTGGGGTGAGGGGGTGGGGATGAGGTTGCGATGGGTGTCAGGGAGTAGGTGTTGTGGAGGTTTGGGGTGATTGAGTGGGGAGAGGTTGCGATGGGTGTGAGGGAGTAGGTGTTGTGGGGGATTGGGGTGAGGGGGTGGGGATGAGGTTGCGATGGGTGTGAGGGGGTAGGTGTTATGGAGGGTTGGGGTGAGGGAGTGGGGATGAGTTTGCCATGGGTGTGAGGGAGTAGGTGTTGTGGAGAGTTGGGGCGAGGGGGTAGGGAGAGGTTGCGTTGGGTGTGAGGGAGTAGGTGTTGTGAAGGATGTGGGTGAGGGAGTGGGGAGAGGTTTCGATGGGTGTGAGGGAGTAGGTGTTGTGAAGGGTTGGTGAGGGGGCGGGGAGAGGTTGCGATGGGTGTGAGGGAGTAGGTGTTGTGGAGGGTTGGGGTGAGGTGGTGGGGAGAGGTTGCGATGGGTGTGAGGGAGTAGGTGTTGTGGAGGGTTGGGGTGAGGTGGTGGGGAGAGGTTGCGGACGGATGTGAGGGAGTAGGTGTTGTAGGGGATTGGGGTGAGGGGGTTTGGAGAGGTTTCGATGGGTGTGAGGGAGTAGGTGTTGTGAAGGGTTGGTGAAGGGGTGGGGAGAGGTTGCGGACGGGTGTGAGGGAGTAGATGTTATGGAGGGTTGGGGTGACTGAGTGGGGAGAGGTTGCGATGGGTGTGAGGGAGTTGTTGTTGTGGAGGGTTGGGGTGAAGGGGTGGGGAGAGGTTGCGATGGGTGTGAGGGAGTTGTTGTTGTGGAGGGTTTGGGTGAAGGGGTGGGGAGAGGTTGCGATGGGTGTGAGGGAGTAGGTGTTGTAGGGGATTGGGGTGAGGGGGTGGGGAGAGGTTGCGATGGGTGTTAGGGAGTAGGTGTTGTAGGGGATTGGGGTGAGGGGGTTTGGAGAGGTTTCGATGGGTGTGAGGGAGTAGGTGTTGTAGGGGATTTGGGTGAGGGGGTGGGGAGAGGTTGCGATGGGTGTGAGGGAGTAGGTGTTGTAGGGGATTGGGGTGAGGGGGTTTGGAGAGGTTTCGATGGGTGTGAGGGAGTAGGTGTTGTGAAGGGTTGGTAAGGGGGTGGGGAGAGGTTGCGGACGGGTGTGAGGGAGTAGATGT